AGTTAGCCTCCCTGCACGCAGTTAACCTCCCTGCACGCAGTTAGCCTCCCTGCAGGCAGTTAGCCTCCCTGCAGGCAGTTAGCCTCCCTGCAGGCAGTTAGCCTCCCTGCACGCAGTTAGCGCCTCGCTGCAGGCAGTTAGCGCCTAGCCTTGGAGCTAAGCCAGGTCCTGGAAAAGAACGTTTCTTGCGCCGTGTCTATTTCTTTATTTTATTCTCTCTCCAATGCGTCTCCAGACCTGTCGATCACCTGCTAAACGTCTGCGCTGTGGCGAGAGGTGGTGAGCAAATACACTTCCTGTTAGCTCAGGAAGCAGCTCTCCTATATCTTGGTATCGCAGAGGAGCTGCTGCCCATCGACAACTTTGGCGCCCTAGGACGGAAATATGTCACCAATCCATCTAAAAATGGAACAACGCTTTACTTTCACTAAAGATTAAATATGTATCTTGCACATCTAAAACATACATATTGATATATTTAGAAAAATATTAAATGTTAATTTAAAATTAAATAATAAAATAAATCTATATATTTTATGTCTTAATCAGGGTCATTGGGTGGGTGGGGCGGCGCCCTAGCGCCCTCTATTGGCCAGCCGCCACTGCTGTTAACCCCTTAAACGTCAGAATAACTTCAGAATAAGCTGAGTTTGACGGAGAGACGTAGAGTTGCGTTTCTAGTTTGAGCAATATTTCCAATGTTACTCTGATTCATTCCTGATGAAAACAAAGATTAAACCTAATAAGACGTTTAAGATTAACCTTGAATTCAGCTTCCAAGGAGTCCTAGAGTTCACCCCCAAACTCTGCAGTATCCCGGCAACCACACAGTAACTGCGTTTCCGTTAACCATCAAATTGCACAAATTGTAATTGCAAAAAAAAAATAGCGTAATAAAAAAAACAAGAGAAATCTAGAAAAAGTTTTTTTTCTAAAAAAAAAAAAAAAAATCCTCAAAATGATCGTTTTTTCCGATTCAATGAGGTGATTTATTTATTTTTTGGTCATATTTATATCCTTATTTCGCATCACGAGTCATGTAATCCTGAACTGAACCGCCACCGGCAGCCATATTGGTACTCCCCGCTCCCACGGAGTCGCGCAATAGAAATGCGCCACTCCAGCTGATTGCATCGACTCATTGACTCTTCAGCAATCCCTCACACTAAGCCTAAAGATTTTTAATTTGGTGGATTTTGACGATGATCTTTGTCAGAGCTGCTCTGATTTCTGCTGTAGGGATGGATGTTCTGATCTTCCTTTCCTGTCTACCTCAGATGGAAAAGTTTTCGGGGGCGGTGCCTCGTGAGGACAGCCCCTCTCCCGTCTCCACGGCAGCAGAACCGGGTTCCGATCAGGAAGAGGAGCACGAGAACATGAAGAACATGCTGATCAGCGACAACAGCCTGACTGTAAACCCCCGAGGCCTGAGAAGATCCAGAGCAGTTCGCAGTAAGAACCGCAGAACTCTGAGCCGCATGGTTCTGCTCAGAAACCAGTCAGAACAAGCTGCTCTCTGATTGGTTCTGGAAAAAACCCAAATGAAAAAGATGGAGCCAGAGTATCCAAAAGCTTCTTATGTTGTGGATGGAAAGAAGTTCTGGTTCTGCTGCTCAGTCAGCTGAGCAGGTTCTTCTTGTGGTCCTTAGGTACCACAAGAACAGGCCTCAGAACCAAGGAGTCATCTGGAGGTCCAGAAGAAGCTTAATTCTTGGTTCTGACTGGTTTAATGTAGTTCTAAAGATCCACTTCCTGGTTCTGCTCCTGGTTAACGTTCTGGTTCTGATGTCCAGGTCTGAGTCCGAGGATCAGTACGCCCAACATGTCCGCCGCCAGAGAGGACGGGACCGTCTCCCAGGACGACGCCACCGATGACATCATGGATCGGCTGGTGAAGTCCGTGACCCGGAACCCGACAAACAGAACCGCCAGCCCTAAGAGCCGTAAACGGGCCCGCCTCAACAGGAAGTCCTGTAAGTCGATGTTTCCTCAGATCTGGGTTCAGATAATTGATCTTCTCTGCCTCAGAGGTTCCTGCTGTGGTTCTGCTGTGACCCGACTGGACCCATAAAATGGGACCCATCAGGTGGAGCAGCTGTAGGTGTTCTGGGGGAATCAAAGATGGCGCCTGTTGATGGCGCTCCAGTTAAACAGAGCAGCAGGAGTCAGAACTAGAACCTTTAAGGCGCAGCGGCTCTGCATTCGCTGAGGTCCGATGGATCGACTTCCTTTGGTACCAGAAGAAGACGGGACGTCTTCTAGAACCTTCCCGGTTCAGGTTCTGTTTGATGGCAAACAGCAGCTGTGTGTCCAAAACCTCTGATATCAGATCCCTTAGTTCACTTCCTCACCAAATCCCAGATGATCTGATGACCTTCAGGACAGAGAGGTGGAGGACGCACTGAAACCTGGCTGCTGCTCCGCATTCCTCTGCTCCTCATCTAATCATAGTCACTAGTTAATGACTCAACTTTCCTGTTATCAGAAGCTCTCTGAGGTCAGAAGGAGCCGAGCTGCAGCCTCCCTGATCTTCTCCTCCATCTGAGGATCTGAGCTTTACCAGAAGTTTCTCCTCCAGAACTTTCATGAACAGCTGCTGTAATAAACCAGGAACCGACTAAACGGTTTCATTCTTTAGAAAAGAAGAGATGGACGCTCTCCTTGTTCTAACCAGGTTCAGTTTTACCGGATCTGATCCGTTTCTCTCTTGGTTTGCAGTGAGGAGGACTCTGAAGAACGGTCTCGGTCCAGACGGGATCCAAGCTCTGGATCTTTACAACAACAAGCCAGAAGACAAAGTCTGACCCAGGAAGGTCGTCAGGAGGAGCATCTGCAGCATTTTAACCCAGCAGCAGCTTCCTCACTGATCTGAGCTCCAGGCAGCAGAACCGTTGGGATGCCATCAGAACCCTGAGCCGGTACCACTCATCAGAAGGTCCGGACCTTCTTATCGTCTGATCTCCTGCTGCAGTGTTTGTAGATGAACCTTCAGAGCAGCTGAACGCCAACAGAAGCTCAGAATGTTCTGATCCTGCTGCTGATAACCAGACAGAACACCTTGATTTATCACAGCTGCTGCCGACGCCAGGATTTACCTGCCGGGTCGACGGTTCCGATCCGGTTTAACGACCGGAGGCAGAACCTGAATACGGATCAGAAGCAGGATTTATTCAGATAAACTGATGGTTGCTGTTTCACTCCAGAACCTCCTGCTGAACCAGTTCTGCTCTGAGGTCCCAGTCCGTCTGTTCTGTTCGGTTCTGTCTGTGTTGCATAACTTCTCTACGGTTTGGAACCGTCACTCAAACATCACGGATGATCTCCCACCTTCGCTGAACGGTTGATGACCTCTGAGCTGCGGCGCCTCAGATGAGGACGTTCCGGGTCACATGGTACCAAACGGGCTCCTGCCTCCAGGTGTGTGGATGGGAGTTCACTGCTTTTAGACTTTGAGGTTTTCTCCTTCCTCCCAGAGATGAGGACCTTGAAGATGTTTTAGCTGTGGTTGATTGTGTTTCTGCTGTTATCAATAAAGGTTTCAATAAATAAGAAGTTTGATGGTTCTGGTTCTTTCTCAGAGACGCCTGAGGAAGCCCAGTTGGGTTTTTCCTCAGGTGCAGCATCCTGGTCCCCAGTTCCTCTAGGAGGAGGTCAGAGTTCTGCTCGTCATCAGGTTCCTCAGAAACATCATGATGAGACGGGGAACATCTGAACGCTGGAGATTAGAGGCGGGACATCTGGGTCCGTCTGAGAACCCATTCGGTTTGTTTATATGGCGCAAAATCACAACACGTCGTTTCAGGGCAAGACATGATCTTAGTGACGATTTTCGCTTCGATTTTGTGGTCGGCTCTCCACTCATGCTTGTAGCGACAGTGGAGAGGAAAAACTAATTTTTAACAGGAAGAAA